CGTAACCTTACAGAGCCATGTCCGATTGAGGGATCTAATATTCGCGTCGACAGCTGATGTTTTCATTGCTGGACGGATAAAACTATCCAACTCAGAGACTTTGCGTTTGAAGGTAAACGCTGGTTGGCCTTGCTGTTGAAGGGTAAGGATTGCCAAATGATGGAGGCACTGCAAAACTTGGAAGAACACCTTCACAAAGGGTTCTTCCTCCTTATGAGTGGGGACTGGTTGGCGTCGGTGGGCTGGTAGTCGTTTCTGTTGTTGGTCAGGTCGATGGTTACCTCTTGATTGGTAGGCTGTGTTGTAGGTAGGTCGGCGATGGGGTGGGATATAGCTGGATGGGTTGGTTGGTGGTCGGCGATTGGTAGGTGGTAGAGGTCGATGGAAGACAGGGCCGTTGTAGGGTACGTGATATTGGTTTGGTTGACGATTAGTGTTTCTATTTCTGGCTTCTTGCCAGTGGTTGTTGTAGTTGGGGAGCATAATGAAAATAACTTGGGGTTAGAAGGGAATGTACAGCGGATGTAACAGGAGGAAACTGTATATGCTAGCGTGAAAATGTTGGGATCAAATTATGCAAATAAGTCAAACTGGGTTTGGGGATATATAAAGCAAGATGAAAAATGCAAAAAAATATATATTTAGGTGATAAATAACGCTAACAATGATGTGAAAAATTATAACAAGTAAAACAAAAACTTACGCAATTGACACGAACCGGTTTTCGAAATATTATCCTTTTTCAAGTGTCAAGTGTCCTTTGCTCCCGGGGAGCACACATTTCTCACACGTGGATTGTCTTGTTTGTAGAATATTTAAACCGATTAAAAAATTATTGTTAAGAAATAGGTTTTTTCTATCAAAATTTTCAGTGTGCAATGTGGTACATTTTTAGGGTTGATGTCTTGAAGGAAACTGTGTTTTTTCCGAATATCTTTGGGTGGATACAATAACTTATTTTGTTTAGAATTTTCAGTCTGTAATGTTGAACGATATTACAGGAAACTTTTGAAGAAAATTGTGGATTTTTGGGTTGAGAATTTTATATTTGAAATAAACAAACTCCCCTTCTGAGAAAGTTCGTTGGTATATCGAATTTTGTCTATTTTAGTAAGGTGGATTTGATTGTACGCTTCGAAACAGTACTGATAAAGATAAACTTGACTTTGATTACTGTCATGGGGTATATCATTTACCCCAAACATGGATTGGAGTTGCTGAATATTTCAACCAATTAATGTATGTTTGTTTCTTCAAATTTTTCAGTGTGTAATATTGGACGTTTTTAGGGAAGATTTCTTGAAGGGAATTATGGTTTGTTTGTTATTTTTTTTGGGTACATAGAAATATATTGTGTGGAAATTTTACATTTGAAATATACAAACCTCTCCGGAAAATATCAAGTAAAATGGCCTACATTCGGGACAGACTATCAATATATAACCTAATATAAGTTTTAAATGTATTAAACTATATTCCATACTGATATTAGCCATTTTATGTTATCGCAAGGAGGGCAATGATATGAAGACGTACTTATTCAAATTGTTATTCACACGTCAACCAAATCAACTTTTATTTAGATGAAATTAGTACAATGTCCACCTCTAAACAAGTAAAGATACCAATGCATGACAAAATAATAAGAAAATGATATATTATAGTCTATTTACCTTGAAAATATGTATATTATTCCAATTCATGTCCGGATATCTTGAAAGATTTTTTGTGTGTGTTTGTTTTGTCAAGTGATTTGATCTCAAATGACCTTGAATATTTCACGTGCATGAGTATTTGTTATTGTTTGTTTATTTAGTAAGTGGGTGAATATTCTCAAGCAGTCAAATGCGATCCACAACAATGTGTTCAGTGGATTTGCTATGAATCAAAAGGTGGGGGGAGGGAAGCGAGCATTGGCCTCAGAATTGCCAATGACACATATAATACTTTCCTAATGTCTAATGAAAGTGGGGGAGGTAGGGGGGGGGGGATTGGGAAGGAGAGGGCGAAACCTCTGTTCTGAGGGAGAATGCCCCGCGCCCTTTAAACCCTAAGTAGAAAAGCTACTGCTTGTTTTACGATCATTTTTGGATTTACTAGTCTTCTATAATTTTATGCACAAAATCTCTCAGTAGCCCCACAAAATTGAATATAATTCCATAGCCCATGCCTCGAGTAACTGATCATTGTAACTAAACACACTGTACATAACAGTGAACACACACAAGCATTATTGGCAGATTTAACTGCAGTCTTTAATCAAAGTTAAATTGAGTTTTCTCCCTTAGAACATAAATTGTTCTGGAACTGTGACATTACTTTTGAGCTTCATAAGACATGGCATCAGTCGATTCTCTTTCCATAGCACCAATCTAAAGGATGTAGAGCCTGGCATACTGCGAGACGACATTCAAATTTAACCTAGAAAATCAACAAATGCTGACAAAAAAATGTGCAATGAAATTTAGATTTTTCCGTCAAAGTTTCCTTCATTGCCAGTACAATATCTCCCGTCTCCTGTTCAGACAGCTCCCCCTGGAAAATTTTCTAATGTAAGAAGCCGGAAAATACATCTAAAGCTACTTTGGAAGAGAAAGTAATGTAATTTTTTCATTTATGACTTAAGGGGTCATGGCACCACGTCCTTAAATACGCCATTGTTCAAAAAAAAAAACAGTCCGATTTGACTTCTATAGTTTCTAAAACAACGTGTTTATTTTTTAACCAGACACGGCTGTGCAAAAGTATCATATATGTAGGCCTACGTGTCTATTGACCTTTTTAAATTAATGTCAAGTTATCATTAATGTATGATTTGTTATAATTTTTTGTATGCTAAGCTGTAGTGTAATGTTATTTTGACAGTGACAGCTTCCATCAGTTATTCCACTGTGTGGGTGTACATCTGTTTGCTGGCAAATTGTATGTGATTTCGAAGTTCGTTCCATGCCTTGCAATACTCATCTTGCTCAGGTCTACAACTAATCTGGCATGAGCCAGATCTGGCAACCAGAAATTAAGGGCTAAGCCAAAAAGCTCTGGCCAATATCATGCAACCCTTCGTTCAGATCTAACATTTACGCCAACATCCGAAAAAATTGTATTGTGGTTTTGCAAACTTGTGTTACACTTAAAGCATCTATTTGCTCCACTCCAATTTTTAGTCTGACTTGTGTGGTTTTAGCAATCAAATGATGCTATCTGTGTACGCTATACAAAATTTACAACACTTCATTTAATAAAAAAAGTTGGGTCAATTTACAAAACTGCAGTCAGCAAAGCCAAAAAAACAAGCGTGATCAAATCAAATGAAAAAGTGTTGTGGCCTCAACATGCAACATGCAACATGCAGAAGTTAAACTAGAAAATAAGAATTGGTTAGATAAACAATTTATTTCATTAGTAACATTCTCACAATTATAACAGTCAAAGACATAGCCAATATAACCATTCTAATCTAACATTATTGCTGCATGATGATTCCACACAATCAGGGCAGCAGACAAATCCTCTTACATTATGATTTCCATGTTCTTCAAACACAAATACTTTCTTTTGTCACTGTGACCTTGATAGAAATGTTGAAAAACATTTACAACATTATTTCAATCGTTTTGTAATCAAAGTGATCTTAAATGTCATGACGCGTTGTCAATACAATCCAATATCTTGAGCAATCTCTCCTTTCATTCATTCATTCTCTTTCTTTCTTCAGGATATAACTACAAGACTCTCTGTATCATCTATCTTTATATCTATTGTTTCTATAACTTTAACCATAACATAACTTTGACTGAAAAATAATAATACAAATCTTTACTAACAGCTCTACACACATTTATTGAACAATAATAATTGGATACATTTTATGCAAAATTTGAATGTGTTTCTCCAATTGAAATATAACATAATTAACCCATTTCAAGTATATGCCTATATTCTTAAAACATGCTCTGTAAACCGACTTTTAGACTAAAATATCAGATGTAATAGTCTCAATAAAAGATTGTAAGATCTCTGTTACGAAAACAAGAAAGAAAACTGAGTATTTAACTAATACAATACCTGAATACAAACAGCAGCTAGTTTACCTGGACAAAGCTATCTTGACAACCAGATATATGTTCTCAGTAAAAACTGTTTTTTATTCATATCAACCCATATCTGAAAAACACAACAGAATTTTACTGCTCATCCTAAATGTTTCATAGCCAGCTTGATTTTCGCCTTGAAAAACTTCCCTGCTCTGTAATGTACAACGAGGGAAATTTTGCCAGGATTGCATACTACATACTTTCCAATCCAGCTCTTAAGGCAAACAGGGCCTAAGTTGGTCAAATGGTATAATGTGAAGTTTTTCCCAGAACCTGCTAATCCATTTATCCTTTTAAAAATTATTGTTTCTTCATTTCTTCCTTTTAAAGAGTTACTTACTTCTGTTTACATGCCCATTAGAAATTGTTCCATATTTATTGGCCCACAAATCAATCAATCCATCTCAGCAGGACAGGGTCGATGAACTCCCTGCAGGATTACTCCCTGCCTACCCTAACACTGTATTATCTATATCACCAATATCTGGAATAGAAAAAAAAAAAGGGAATGAGAATTTCATGGATTAACTTGCTTTTGAATGCTCAGACCCAAAACTAATATTAGATTGTATACATAAACTATACAAATAATCATTGCAAAGGTTTTAGTTATGACCTCATTGCTGCAAAAGCAAAAACCTTTCAAGGACTGGCTGTAGTACAGCTGGTAAGGGAATCAGAATCTTTATATGGCATAATTTGTTTGGTTGGTCATAGGTTGTAATCTGAAGTTGTTATCCTTTTAAAAATTATTGTTTCTTCATTTCTTCCTTTTAAAGAGTTACTTACTTCTGTTTACATGCCCATTAGAAATTGTTTCAAATTTCTTGCCTTTCACACCAATCAATCCATCTCGGCAGGACAGGGACGATGAGCTCCCTGCAGGATTTCTCCCTGCCTACCCTAACACTGTATTATCTATATCACCAATACCTGCAATAGAAAATAAACAGGGAATAAGTATTCCATAGATTAACAAGGGCACTTTGAATTTTCTAGTTTGAGGTATATTTTCTAGTTTGAGGTATATTTGCAAATGCTGTACAGTTCTAGTACTTTTGAAGCCATTTTTACATATTCGATGTTGAATCTCAAACTCAAAAAAGTGACTGTGACTCTAAAGATTCCAATCTACATTAGGCTAGCGTTCTGTAAAATTTAGTTAATTAAAAAAAATTTCCAGATATTTAAAGATTCAAACTTATCTTCTTCACCC